AGGACGTCAGCCTCCAGTTCAGCACAGCCTCCCTCCTGGGGCCCGTGGGGCTGGGCAGGAGCCCACCTGTTCCTCCCTCACTGCACAGTTGAGGGGACGATGGTGCCCACACAGGGCCTCGGAACAAAGCCTCAGCCTGAGCACGTGACCTGGGCCGTCTGCGTGCAGCTTGCTGGCTGGGGGGTGCCCGGGCTCCTGGGCTCTGAGCAGAACCCAGCAGGCGTGCCCGCGCCCCTCCGTTGCTCCTGTCTTGTGACCCCTCGAGCAGGATGCTAAGGGAGGCCTTGCCCACTGGGGGCTGGCCACCGAGACCCAGAGGTCACCGGCTCCAGCCCTCTGCAGGAGGCCAGCCCGGATGGCGGCCCGGGGCTCCTCAGAACTCTTCCCACGTGCTTAGTGGCCTGCCTGACTTGGGGTGCTGAGGCACCCCAGGCGCTTTTCACCCTGCTGCTTCTCCGGGCTCCTGCGTCTGAGCCCTCCCAGGCCAGCACCTCAGGCACACAGTACTGACCTGTGGAAAATGCTGACCTTGGCCCAACTCCTGTCGGCTGCTCTGCCGGCCCGGCTCCTGGCGCTTGAGCTCAGGCAGCCCCTTCCGAGAGGGCTCCCCCTCGGCGCTTTCTCCAGTGACACAAATCAGACGTAAATGCCTCGTCACTGGGCTTCTGGAACTTTCTGAAACAAAACCCAAGCACTCTTGGCTCCTTGCCTCTCACTGGTAACCCTTTTGGGTTCCTGGTTGACTCATTGCCTGTTGGGGGAGCTGAGCCAAGGCAAGGAGGTGGGGAGGGCCCTGTCCTCAGAAGGGGCCTGAGGGCCCTGTGTCCAGGCCTGGACTCTGGCACTCACTCTGCCCAGAGCCCCCAGCCCCCAGAGAGGTGCACGCTTGCAGGCGGATTCCCTGAGCTGGAGCATCTCGGGAGAAGGCCTTCCACATGAAACTCAACGTGTGATGTTTCTAGATTTCATCTGCTCCCCTAGCTGGTGTGGTCAGCGTCATCCTTAACACGAACAGACACTTGGCCTGTGAGCAGCACAGGCTTGAATGTGTGGGTCTGCTTGCACCTGGGATGTCCTCGGTGGGTTTGGCATTCACGAATGCAGCCACCCTCGGATGCTGCTGCGTGGACCAAGCAGCTGTGGAACCCGAGGACACGCTCAGCAGCTGGGATGGCCCCAGAGTTTAGTATGGAGCGGGAGCGAGGGGGTGTGTGTCTTAAAACCGATCCCTTGCAGATACCAAGGGATGAGCGTTTAGGCTGGGGGGACCCTAAGTTAAATGTGGATGCCCAGCCGCGGGGCGTGGGGCAGGATGGGCATCCCAAGCCCTGTGTTGCTCAGGGGCTACTGTCACCGCCAAGCTCGAGAGGGACGTCCCCGCCTGTGCGTGCGGGCTGCAGACAGGTCCCAGCTGCTCCTGTGAGGGGCGTGGTGGTGAGATAAGGCTGAGTATCTCCCTGCAGCTCCCTGCAGGATAGCCCCGCTTACAGACGGTCAAAGCTCTGAACCTGCTCCCCGCAGTTTTCCGAACTGGTCTCTTCAGTGTTTCTTTTAGAATCGGTCTAGCAGCCGGTGACCGAGGCCCCAGTTAGCAGTGGCTAAGTGGAGCTCGAGTCCACGGGAGTTCCGTCCGGGGCTGGTGTAGTGGCCCAGCACGGCCCTGACCCTGCAGTTTGCTGCTGGGCCTCGGGTCCATGCCGGCAGCTGGAGCCCCGGACGTCACATCTGCACCCAGCTACAGGGGACAACCCACTGGCCAGAGCAAGTAGCGTGGCACTGGCAAGCTGCCAGAGAGGGATGGCTGCTCGGAAACGACACCCGTTTTCTGTCCCGCCAAAGCGCTCCCCACCCCCTCATTTCGCGTCACCCCCTTGAGAACAGTTTGAGTGGGAAGCTGTCGCCCTTTGGGCCACTTTGACACTCTGCACTGGAAACTCTAGAACTCTAGGTGACTGCGGTGACCCCTGGGTTCAGGAACAAGGGGCGCCTGACTTCCGAGGCTCTCTCTGGCCGGACGGCTTCGGGCCCCTGGGGAGCCCTGGAGGACAGCCTCCTCCGCCGCCAAGCTCGCTTTGTCTCTGGTGCTCTGGGGATGTTCAGCGCTCTCTTGCCTGTGTCCTGTGAACTAACACCACTAACCCGTGCTCTTGTCTCTCTCCCCTAACCGTCCCTCCCGCCTGTCCTTGTCCGCCGGCCCCGTCCCCAGGCGGGCCAGGCTGTGCTGGCCTTCCAGCGGTACCAGATTGGCGCCGACTCGGCCCTCTTCTCCCAGGACTACATGGACCCCAGCCAGGACTCCAGCATGCCTTACGCCCCCTACGTGGAGCCCAGCGCCGGGCCGGACGCCGCTGGCATGGGCAGCACCTACCAGCAGCCGGCCGCCGCCTTCGACGCCGAGCCCCAGGGCTACCAGTCGCAGGGCTACTGAGCCGTGACCCGCCGCCCCCGCCTGCCCTGCCCCAGCCCGGTGCCCCGTCCCCTCCCCGCAGACCGGCCCGCTCCCCCCCAGGCCACCCTGTGCAGTGCCCCGGCAGCCGCCAGGCTGCTCCGCTGAGGCCCAGGGTCAGGATGGCAGGAGGGCGTCGGCGTGGGGTCTGCGGGTGCCAGCGTGTGTGGCAGGCCCGGGCGTCTCGGCCACTGTGTCGTTGAGCGTCCGCTGGGAGTCGGGCCTGCCCTGGGCACAGGCCGTGAGGGAGAAGTGGGCCCTGGACCGGGGCAGAAGGCCAGGAAGGGGCCTGTTGGCACCAGAGGTAGGAATGGAGGACGGAGACGGGTGAGCCGGAGTGTGGCTGCTGGGCGCGTGTGGGGGTTCCGTGGCTGTCTCCGGTTTACGGCTGAGGAAACGGGCCTAGCGGTCAGGGTCCCTCGCTGGGAGACCGCGGTCCCTGGCAGTGGGTGAGGGGCCGAGCCCGGGCCCGACTGCACAGCTCCTGCTCCTCTTCCCCCTTTTCTCTGGCCCCAAGCCTGAGCCCCACCACTCAGTGTTACCCGACTCTGGGAGGCCTTAGGGACCTCAGCCCGTGGGACACCCTGTTCTGCTGCAAGCTGAGGGCCTGTTCAGCCCCCGAGGCTCCCCAGCGAGGTTGCCCCACCCGCCCCCGCCCAGGCCTGCCCCGGAGGCTCACCCCGCTGGCTCTGAGCGCTCAGTGCCGAGTCCCACCCGGAGCTCCGGCCACCCCGGATGGCCCCCGTGCAGCTGTGCACTGTCCCTGCCTCTGGGAAGGGCCCAGGACCGGGCGGGCAGGCCCAGGAGGGGCCATGGCCCCTGGTCACAGCGAGTGGGTGTGAGGTTGGGCGCGCTGCCCAGGTTTCTCGGTCTCTGCCACCCAGCAAGTGTCCGGGCCCTGCTCGGTGACCTCCCAGGACACTGAGCTCCTCTGGGACACTGCGTCATCTCTTCCTCGGCCAGCGTTGGCCAGGGGCTGAGAGCACAGTGGGGGTCCTTCCTCTCCCGGGGAGACAGCGAGGAAGGTGCTCAGGACGCAGCCAGGCCGGCCTGCCAGCCGCTGCCATCAGCAAGCCCCCTCCGGGGTGGACAGTGAGCCCCTGGGCACGCCAGGCCAGGGAGACCCTGGCACTCACGGGGGAGGGTGGCACTCGTGCCCAGCAGCCCCAAGGGTGTTGTGGGGGGCATAAGGTAGACTTTCACTGAGCCTTAAAGGGGTGGGGAGACCCTGAAGGCTGGGCAGACTGGGGGTCCAGCAGCTTCCTCGCGGGCCAGGGGACATGGGTCAGCTCTGTGCTAGCCCACGGTGTTTCCCCTGCCTCCAAGAACCCTAAGAGGCAGGTAACCCGCTCATTCGCCCATCGCTTCAGCAGTGACAGGGCCCTGGGGCACCCCGCCCAGAGGAGCGACCCAAGTGCTGAGGCCCCGGGTGTCCTGAGCACGAGGGGCGCAGCAGTGAGGGGAGAGAAGACTTGGCGGGCAGGGAGGGGCTCCGCTGTCCCCCCAACAAAGGGGAATCGGACTGGGCTGGGGCGCTGGCGGTGGGTGGGTCTGCGCGGGCTCAAGTCCCCCAAAGACAGCAGTGACCAGAGAGGCCCACGGTCCGCCTCTGGGATGAGATCGGTCGGTCTGGTTCTCTCCTGAGGGGACCCAGGTGGGGACAGCATGGGGCCGGGCTGGCACTGGGCTGGCACTGGGCCCTGTTCCAGGCCAGAGGCTGTGGAAGCAGGTGGGTGCGTTGCTGGCTTCGTGGAGTCCGTGCCCATTGCAGGCGGCTGTGAGCGGCCCTCCCCTCCCCACGCCCCTCCCACGGCACCCAGGGTGCTCCCCCGTCCCTCCTTGGGTACCAGCCAGCTGCTGCTGATCTGGGCCGGAGGGCTGGGTGCCAGTTTGGCCTCACCCAACCCTGGCGTTTATACGGACCCTCCAGCCGCCCGGACTGGGAAAGTCGCCAGACCCCCACCACCACCAGGAGTGGGGTGCCGGGTGTCTCACCCGGCTTTCCCTAGTCCAGACCTGAGCCCACCGGCAGGCTGGGTGCCGGCCAGGCTGTCCTGGGTGGACGAGGCGCCGAGGAGAGGCCGAGGGACCGGAGGACAGGGTCTGGATGGACGGGGGCTGCTGTCCCCTGCGGGGGGCCCAGAGGAAGCCCGCCCCGTCGGCCAGCGTGCGTCCCCCCGTTCCGGCCCCCCTGCGCCTTCCACCTCCCCTTGGCTCCCCAGCCTTTCCTTGGAGAAGGGCCCCTGCACCTTGACCTTGGAGGATCTGGGCCCCTCCTCCCACCAAGCACAAGAGAGGGCCCAGGGCTGGGTCCCCCCACGTTTAGACTCCAAACTGAGAGAGGCCAAATGGGGCCAGGACACAGCAAGTGTCCGGAGCCCAGCCCAGAGCCGGGGGGTGGGGACCGCTTCTTGCCGCCCGGTGGACACTTACCCTGCGTCCTCAGCGGCTGTGTCCACCCTGTGCTGGTGGCTCGTGTCCTGCGCTGGGGCCGTGACCACCGAGGGGCTCATTCCCGGGGGCCCGCGTCTGCTCCCCACTGCTACCTTCCCTGGTGATCTTTGATCTCCAGAGACTCTTGGAGGGGGTCCCCGGCTTCTCCCATTTAACCACGAGCCCCCACTTGTTAGCCCTCCGGGGGCCCGACCTTGGCCCAAGACCCCTTTGCGTCTGTATGGAACACGGGGGCACCCTCCGGGGCTGGGGGGGCGGCTGGCCGGGCGTCTCCGCGCTGCCCCCTGCTGCCCTCCCCTGGCCCTCCCGCAGAGTTACTGCCTGTGTATAGTATAAATATATATTTTCTATATATAAGATGTATTATATAAGGCTCCACAGATACATCCGTGTGCGTGCAGTGAAGGGTGGTCCCCACCCTGGGCCCCCTCTGGGCCCCCCACCTGGTTAAGTTTCTCAAGAGTGAACCCAGTGGCCCTGCGGCACCCCCCTTTCTGACGTTGTCCGTTTGTGGTGAACCCAGTGAAGGTGGTGACTTCTGGTGACTCTAATAAAGTGCAGACCAGCCCCTGCGACTGCGCACGTGAGCCTCTGTTCTGTGTGAGTGTGGCCTGGGTTGCCCCGCGCCCCCCGGGGTCACCGCTGTGTCCTTCACCTTTAATCACACACTATCTTCTCGTAGCATGTAAAAATCTACACCTCAAGCCATGTGTACCTGCGCACCGCCGTCGCCGGCCTCTCGCCTGGTCTCTTCCCGAGCCCCAGAGGCAGCCGCAGTCGGAGCTGGGCCTCACCCCCCACCCCACCCCACTTCCCTGCTTGCCTCCACGTGCTGGCAGGACCCCGAGTTTACAGTCAGTAGCCCTGAGCTGGCACGGTGTCTCTGGTCCTGTAAGTACCAGGCTTTGTGCTGGGCCAGCAGTGGGTGTTGTGCCTGGGAAGTGGGCGGCCGCTGCCATCACGGTGGACTTCCGGCCCGGGAGCGGGTGGGGGTGCGAGCAGGACGAGCTGTGTTAAGTGCGGAGAGGTGCAGGGGAGACCGGGGCTCAGAGACAGCCCCTCTAGCAGGTGGCTGCGCCGGAGGTTTCTGCCTGGGCAGGGAGACAGGTGAGCATTTTGGGGAGCGGAGGCGGAAGGTGTCCCTGGCTTGGAAAGACCCTGAGGGTGGGGACCAGCAGGTGTGGCAGACAGACTGAGGAGGGGCAAGCCCGAGCGGGAGAGGCTGGAGCTCCGCCCGCCCCGCCTGCCGGAGGAGCCCACCATGGGTTCTGGGTGCTGGCTGTCGTGCGCTGGCCGCACCCCTTTCCACCCTCAGGTCCCACCCTCGCCTGGCCGGGAGAACTGCCACGTCTGCCCTTCACAGCTGTGGGCCCGGCTTGACGCCAAGTCTGTACAAAGCCCGGGGGCGGCAGGTGGGCAGCCCTGGGCCAGCCAGGTTGGTCCCTGCCCGTCCCCCGCCGTGATGACGTGGAGGGATTGGTCATGGGTGGGGACTCCAGGAGGGGCCAGTTGGGGCTGGTGGGTTCCTTTCGCTTTCTAAGAAGCCTGAGTGTGGCACCCGCTTGCCACCCAAAGAGCTCAGCCACCTGGGACCACGGGGCTGCTGCCCACGGAAGAAGTAGCCCAGCTCCAGCCCTGCTGGGCACCCTGGACCTCTCCTGTAAGAACTCTTCCCGGACGCCCTCCTTGGTCCCCGGTCCAGAGGGGAGTTAATGAAATGGGGGCCCACCGGACAGCGGGGTGGTGCTGTTGCGGTAACAGCTACAATGAGCAGCCGCGCGCCTTCCCTTCGCACTTTCTGTCTCTTCACTGCAGGGCTTTCTCCCCTCTGCAGGCCCCAGAGCTCTGGTCACATATTACCTGCAATCTGCTCGGGTGGGGGAGCATGGGAGGGGGAGGGCGATGAGGCTTACGTGGAAAAGCTGCCCGGTGGGTTGCGCAGAGCAGAGCAGAGCCCAGTGCGGCCTCTGGGGCCTTCTGGGGCGAGGAGCTTCACGGCCCCGGCCGGTGAGATACGGTTTCCAAGATGCTGTCACTGGAGGCCACTCGCTGCACTGGGAAACACCTTTAAAAAGGGACTGAATGGTTAGGGGAACTGGGGAAACGGGGTGACCCCTTCAAAAGAAGTGCTTGTCACAATCCCGGCCAGTCTGGCAATTTCCAGTTCAAGCTGGAAACACGGGGACTCGTGTTCCGAAAGCAGTCGGTCCCTGAACGGCGCGGAAGGGACCCAGGCAGCGTTCCATGGCTGACATGTGCCGGGTGATGACGAGTGCGAGCGACACCGGCACTTAAAATCGCCCCCCTGAACGATATCTTGTCATTTTATGTAATACAACGAAAATAGCAGCTACCGTGATGCCTGAGTGGTCATGAGACTTCTGGCTCGTTTGTCAGAAAATGTGTGGAGTAAGTCAGCGAAATGCACGCCTTCGGCAGCTTCATTGCAACAGATGTAGTTGCAGACTACCATGGTCCTCGCCATGGAGGATGGCCATTGCTTCATGATTTTTAACCTTGAGAAGCTCTTCCAGCTGTGGCAGCTGTCACTGGGCTTGTTAAGGATATTTCATAGACTACTCCATTCGGAGACGTTTCTGACGCATTATTTCAAAATACAGATTTTAGTACATCTAGAGCTAATGAATGTCGAACAATTTTTTCTAAAAAGACATACAGATCCATTTCACCTAAGGCTGAATTTAACTTTGCATGAAAGTTTACACAGTGCTGTTGCAATGTTCCCTCCCATGTTTTCTGTAACTTGAGGAGATGACGTCACCGCTCGTTCATCGGATTGCGTGTCTTTGGCTATCGGGAAACATTCGTTTCGTATGAAAATAGAATTTTTGTCCACGAATGTGATGATCTTTAAACTTAATTTCTACTTCTAAGCCCATGAATTTGTGCTTTGCGATGTTGCTGCAGTTTTTAGAACCAGAGATTCTAAATTCTGAGGACTTCTAGTTCCCGGATATGCGTCGCTTCACTGCACCGTGTATGTTTGTTTTGGAGTAACTTGCCGTGGGGGTGCTGAGGGCTCCCGCCGCACTTGGGGGGGCGAGAGGGGGGGGCTCTGTTTGCATGTGTCTGTGGGGCACCTTCTCCCGCCATGGCGTCTGTAGAGTGTTGCCATCTACTGTCGTCAGTCTGGGCACAGATCCCAGCCCCCTGCAGCCGGCCTGCCCAGCCATGTGGGTGCACAGCGGGTGGCCAGGCCAAAACCTCAGCACCAGCCCCCCCCCCCCCACTTCATGGCAGGAGCCGGCTCACTGACACCAGCTTGCTTCTCTGCGCCTGCACACGCGTCACTGGCCATCTCCTTAGCAACAGAAAGTTAAGAGGAAATGATAAAGAATTCCAAGGTAGTGAGGAGAGAGCCTTAAACCCAGAGCAGGGTCCCCGGAGAGTGGCCCCTGGGTGACCACGGGGCTCATGCCAGTGCGTCCAGCCCCAACCCGACCCTGATCCCAGACCCCACTCCATCCCCCCACTTTTTGATTCTGAATCTTTTTTCCTCCTCCTCCTCTGAATCGCCCGTCAGTTCCATAGCTAGGCTTGATTGTGGGCCGTGCTACTGAGATTTAGTAACAACAGATCCTGGGTCTTCATCCAGTTTAGGTTCCTGGCACAGAGCTCTTTAAACCTGGAGTCTGTGAATGAGAAGCGCAAAGAGAAGTGTCCTTGAAGTCTTTTGTGCCTGCGGTTCCTCTGCCTGAATACTCTGTCTCCTCCCAGGCCTCTCCTAACTCGCCCTCTGAATGGGACCACCTTTTTCAAGTCTTTTTGTTGCAACCCACAGCTGGCAGTCCGAACGTAGGAGACTCGGGAGACACAAAAGAAACTGAAGCAGGAGCCTGGGGTCTGAAGTCCGAAGTCTGTTTATTAGGACAGCCCATGGGTATATATAGGGCCCCAAGGTGCAGGGAAAAACAGGAAATGTGCCCGATGCCAGGGGTGGGGTGCATGATTGTACCGACCTAGGTGCTTCTTGTAGCTTCTGCTTGATACAAAGTGGGCTGCAGCTATTTGCAGGACAGAGTGTGCTGTGCTCTGCTGACTTGTTTGTTGGCCTCACTGGGCAGTGTGCTCACCCATGCACAACCTTAGCCAGGGCGGACAGGTGCACTTGAGGTCCTGCAGAGTTAGCCACATCTTTTATTTAATTATTTTTCAAGATTTATTTCTTCATGCATACGAGAACTGGGGTACAGGCCAGAGGTTTGGGGGGTGAGAGGACTCACCAGAGACAGAGTGGGGAGCAGAGCAGGCAGATAGACTGAAACACTGCTGAGGGGAGCAGTGGTGAGACAGGAGAGGTCTGCTGCGCCTTGCGGGTCACTCCCTGGCCGGGGGTTGAGCTCAAGCTACAGTGGCTGCGGACAGCTTCACAGTGCTGTGCTTTGACCTGTTGCAGCACCAGGGAGGCCCCGGTTCTGCCTTTTAAAGCTGCAGCCCCATCCCCTTTATTTTCCGTGGTAGCTCCGTTTACCACCTGATTCATCTTCCTGTTCGTTTCTAGCTCTCCTTGCTGAATTTTTAAGCCTCACGCAATCAGGGATTTTGTCATTGCTCTGCCCCCAGTACAAAGTTCTGGCGTGTAGGCGGTGCTTCATTGAGAGACTGCTGAGTTTGTGAATCAACCTTGCCACCAAGGTTCTCCCTGTGTTCTCCGAGTCAGAAGAAAGCACTGTCACCCCCCACAGACCCGCCCTGGGGCGGGGGCTGGGATTGTCCTGGATGGGTCCCATCCTTCCAAACCTCAAAGCATCTGCACCATCTTATGAACTCAGTTTCCTGAGTGAAGCACCCTTCCCGCCACCCCTTCTGACACTTCTTGTTTCCGCCCTCGCGTGGCAGATGCAGGCATGGGCTCACGCTACTGTGAGTTGCACAGTGCGGGTGTTTCTGTGTCCTCTCCATCTTCGGCCCTCTCCCAGCCAGGTTCGGCCAGCGCCAGGAGTCCGGCCACTTCCCTGACTCCCCCCCTCCACTTCTGACCAGCTGCCCGGTCTTGGTCTTTCTCTTTTGCCACTTCTGGTATTTCTGAAGCCTGGTGGCCACCCCCTGGGTGGGGCCACACCTCCTCCCCCCAGCAGCCTCCTGTTATCTCCGAGCCTCCGGTGCTGGGCTCCCTGCCTGCCTGCCTGCCCCTGGACCCAGGCTCATCTCCCTAAAACAAAAGCATGACCATGTGATGTTTCCACTTAGGTGAATCCCCACCCTTTCCTGCCCACTACCCCCACTCCAACCTGCTGTCCCAACCCGCCCCCCACCACCGCCAGCCCCCACTCCTACTGCCCCAGCACACAGCGCTCGGCTGCCTGCAACGACCATTCTCCACTCTGCCTGTCCCGCCCGCTCTCCTCCTGGACCTAACGCAGGGTCACCTCCCCTGGGAAGTCTTCCCTGACTTCTCTCATGCCCCTGGCAATCTGTAGTTACATTCTTCTCTTGGGTGCTCACCTCCTGAGCAAAGTAACCTTGGCTGAGAAGGTAACAGGTTTGGGGTCCAGGAGGCCCAGAAGGTGAGGCCTGGTAAGCACCTTCTGTGTGACTGGATCCGTTCCCAGAATGCCAAGGTCAAGCCGTAGAAGCATATGGCGTGGGAGTAGGAAGTGGGTCTGGGACAGAGGAGACAACACGTTTGTAGCAGATTCTATGTTCTTCTGCTAAATGTTTGCCGATGTTACTTCATTTAGTTGTCATAGCATCCCTGGGAGGTAGGGCCTTCAGGAATAAAGAATGGGTGTATAGGATTTCTAAAACTAATAAGGGCAGCCCTTCAAGCCAGCAAGAGAGAGAAGAGATTACTTAGCAAAAGATTGGCTTTCTGTATGGAAACCATTAAGCTGATCCCTGGCACTGTATTAAAACTTCAAATACAGTAGACATTATCATTTAAGAAAATATTGATTTAAATTTAGGGTAGGAAAGGCTTAGAATAACACAGGAGGCAGAGACTCTAAAGGAAAATTCTGAGATCTGGTTACATAAAAATGTAAATGTTCCGTGTGTCAAAAAATAATGTGTGGAAGACAGCAGAAAAGTACTTCCAACATGTTAGCAGATAGAAATTCAGGTTCATGAGCTAAACAGACACTTCAAAATAGGAAGCGGTATAGGTAGTGCCGCGTGAGTATCCCCAAAATTCCATTTTCCTAGTCATCAGAGTAAAATGCACGTGAACGCAAACAGGTTCTCTGTTGACTCGCCATGTTCTCAAACATTTGTTTTCTTTCCCCCGCCCGCCACTCAGCACTTGTTTTAATAACGGGGTGAAGCCATCCTGAAACTAACCATGTTGGAAACTTCCGCTTTAATTTTTTCGTGGCACTTCCATCTGAAGGATTATACGAGCTTGAGGAGGCCCTCCCTGGTTCTGGGTCCTTCTGGAAAGACCACCTGTGAGGACCTCTTGGTCTTACCGTGAAGTGGGAGCCTCCAGCAGCTGTTCCGGAAGCCCCCACATCTGCTGCCTAAGACTCAGATGTTACGTATGTCATTTGGTTACGTAAGCTGGTCTGTAAGGAAAAGGCCTTTTTTCCCGAGTCTGGAGTTTGGGTGCTCTGGGCAGGAAGGGTGTGTGCGTGTGCACCTGTCGGGCAGGTGTGTGTGCGTCACGTGCCTCTGCCGCTCCCACCATTTGCAAACAGGAGGATGACTCGGGGCGCAGGCCCCTTCAGCCTCCCCAGGGAGGCCCCGAGCTTTAATACAAACCACTGAGCCTGTGACCTCGAGATGAGCCCCGTGTGTGAGAGCTGGTTTGGCCTGACTCCCCAGGTGAGGAGGGAAGGGAGGGGATGTCCCCACCTCACCCCCACCCACAGTCAGGGACTAGGAGCTAACGCATTGGATGGGAGCCAGACTGCTCTCCCACCTGGGGCCGGGGGTGGGAGCCTGCTTGCCAGGTGAAGGGGCCCTATTTAGGGCATTCACCCCGGTGGGAGGTCAGCCAGGCCCGCCTGGAGGCCGATGGGACCGGAGAAGAGGAACAGCAAGTATGTGCCTTTGGAGAATCCCAGGCTGCAGGCTGCGCGGCTGGGCCTCCAGAGAAAGCTGCCTTCGCTCTCCCCAAACTGCCACGACTTCCTCAGCGGTGGTGTTATGGCAGTTTCCCAGAGCAATCAGATGGCACAGAGAGGTGGAGAGAGGAAGTTACTAGTCACCCGGCGGGCTAGGTGGGATCGGTCCCAAAAGGCTGAGCCCCGAAGTCTAGCAAGGGTGAGGTTTTCTACAGGTTGTGTGAGGAGCCTCCTCATCCCACCCATCCCAGCATGAGCATTCTTTGTTGTCTGGGAAGGCGGGCCAGGTAGCCAGCAGCGTTGCGGGCACCTTCTGCTCCAGCAAGGAGCGACATGCAAGCCACATACTCCCCCAAGCAGCGGGGAAGGTGCCCGGCCTAAGCGGACCTGGGAACTTCCTGCTTCCGTGGAAGCCGCATTTACGGACCCTGAGCCAGGCTCTCCTGGGAGTGCAGCCCAGTGATGTCACCAGAAGGCAGGAAGGGCCTGTTTCTGGGGAGCAGGGCAGTGGTCCAGAGGAAGCGAGGCAGCCGAGGGGGCAGGGGCCTGGGAGCGGCTGGGAAGGCCCCTGGGACGCCAGCTGCCAGCCTGGGCAGTGTGCCGAGGCTCGGCTGTTAGCCCAGGGCGTCGCCCGCTGGGTAGAGGATTTAGAGCCTGCAGGTAGGGCAGGGGAACAGACCGCTCAGCCAGGAGAGCAGAAAAACCCAACTGTAGACTAGAAGACGGCTTGGCAAACGCTAGAAAAACCTTTCAAATGTGCGAGCTCTTTCAGTCAACGAAACCCTCACTGGAGTTAATCCTAAGGGCTGAGGCAGGGAACCCCCCCCCCCAACCTCACACAACCTTCCCGAATGAATGTGGCGACAGGTCACAGCCAGCGGTAGCATCTGTGGCAATCAGTTGTCAGTCTTGAAGGCTCGCCACCCCTTTGAGCCCCACGTTAGCCCAGCGAAGCGCTCCCACCGGTAAATGCATGAAGGAGGAGCAGGGTGTCTCCCTGGACCAGTGTGTAGATGTGTTTATTTTTTAGAGTAGTTTTAGGTCGACATAAAAATTGAATAGGAAGGAGACTGCAATATGGAAAATGTTTAATAATAAAAAATAAATTTAAGACAATTGCATAGGAGATAGAGAACTCCCAGAAATTATTTTCTTCCTGCTTACTCCTAACATCTTGCGTAAAGGAGGCGCATTTATTACCACTGGTGAACAAATGGTACTGACAGATCATAACTCAGGAAGGGCCTGGCGGCCCCCTGGGGAATCCTCTCACCTCCCTCCCCTGAGCCTCTGGTCTGCACCCACCCAGCTCTTTACGCATAAATAAATAAATCTTTAAAAAAAGAAAATTCCACTTCTTCACAAGGCTTTCTTGTTCAGTTCCTTTATCTCTGATGCTGTTTCATTGTGGGGGGCTGAGGGCCAGGGGGGAGCCCATAGTGGTGGAAACTTTCCCCTCCTGTAGGACGCCCTGGTGCTTCCATCTTGCAGTTACAAATAAAGCTGCTGTGCTCGTCTGTACGCAGGTTCTTGTGTGCATGTAATTTTCTACTCATTTGGCTAAATACTGAGGCACGTAATTGCTAGATTATACTGTAGGACTAGTTTTGCCTTGTAAGAAGACGCTGGCTGTCTGTGCCCGCACGGTTCTGTATCCACACAAGGAAGGAAGATCCTGCCACGCCGCGTCCTCACCCACACTCCGTGTCCGAGCCGTTCGCACAGGGGTGCAGCTGTGTCTCTCGTGTCTGCAGCTGCATTTCCCTGATGACATCTGATGGGAACATTCCCCCTCTGCTCGTTTGCCATCTACTCCGGGATTAGCCCTCGGCTTCGGTGATGCTTCCTGCAGGAAGTGCCGTAGTCCTAGACCAGGGCCCGGGAGCTTGAAACAGTAAGCATCTGTGGGCGCCGCGGGGTGAAGCCCCTCGTGATTGGGTGCGAGGTGGCTCTGCTCAGGCTGGAGGGGGCTGCGTGTCACGGTGCATTCCGGTCTGCTGGGGCTGCTGCCCAGCCTCTGCGGGCTCCGGGTCCGAGGGGGTCCTCTGCCCCACCTGCCTTACACCTGCTTCGGACACTGTAGCCAACTAAGAACTCGATTTTGGTGAATGTTCCAACATAATCGGCTTCCTTCGTAATCTCCGGTTGATTGTGTTATGAGCTTTAGAATGTTATTTGCAGCTGACTTCTCCAGGTGGCCAGAGACATTCTTGTGCAGAGAAGGTTAAGAACTCCTGGGGACAGGTCAGCCGGGTACCCCGGAATGGAGTCCTGAGATACAGTTAACCAAGGAGGCGACAGGAACGGGCTCATCCAACCTGACAGTAGCTTCACCGTGGGCTATCATGAGGGAAATAAACATTTTATTGTGGAAGAATGAAATAAAAAAGTTAACTCTGTGGAAAAAACAGGTAATAAATAATCTTCAATGTCTGCAAAGGTGAAGCAAGAAATAGACATGCATTTACATATTATGGAAAGGGTCTGCAGGATATTTATCAAATTACTTGTCACCAGGTGATGGTGGGATGTGTGTGGTTTAATATTTTTTCTCCACTCTCAGTTTCTGCATTGACCATGTATTGTTCTTGTAAGACATAGAATCGTATTGCGAGTTCCTTCTTTAATCAGCTTTCTCGGGGCATACCTTACATATAATAAAGTTCACCACTTCCAGGGTACAGTGTGATGGATTCTGACAAACATTCACAACTGTGTAACTACACCAGCATCAAGCCATAGAACACCCCAGCACCAGGAAAAGCCCTTGAGCCTGTCTGCCTTCCCAGCCCCATAACCCCCGGTCTGCTTTGGGTCAATATAGTTTTCCTAACAGTTACTTATCAGAGAAAGTAAACAACCGATCGATGCTTACAGATGCCAGGTAAATTGCCCAAGACGGGTGGTCACGGTCTTGGCTCCCCTTTATTCTGTTCTCTCGCTCTCCTTCCCTCTCCCGCCCCCGCCCAGTGTCCCTCCGGCCACCACACGCGTGGGCTGAGTCCTCCACTGCTTCTCTGGGCAGGGCTCCCCTCTCGGCCTCCTGTGCCCCCCCAGCAGCGGTCAGGTTGCTTGATGGGGCACTCGCTGGCTGCCAGGTGCTGTATCCACTCCCTTCCCAGCCGTCCCATGAAGAGGACCATAAAGTGTGACCGTTTGCCGTCACTTCAACTCCCTGGGCCTCAGTTTCCCTGAAATTTCACCAAGCTGGAATAAGAAGTAAGCAAGTTATTATAAAAAAAAAAAATTCAGCAGGTGCCAGACAGACAGTAGGAGTTCAATGTGTTTATTATCTTCACTTTTTTAAAATGTAAGCTGAATGCAACAAACATACAGGTCAAGTCCACACATCTCACTAAACTCTCGTGTTAGACAGTCACCCCATTTTACATGGGGGGGGCAGAGAGGCTCAGGGAGGGCAGGTGGCTTGTTCAAGATCACTCAGGTGAAAGGATGAATAGATTAGGCACCAAGTCCTGATTCTTTTCAGACTCTTCCTCCAGACAAAGCCACTGCCTCCTCTTTCCCCTTTTATGGCAGAGACTGCTCATAACTCCCCGGTAGTCACTTCCCAATTCTTCTTTAGTAACAGAAGTTGTTTGTAGTTGGGCAATCTGTAGCTCAGAGTAAAGCCAGTATTTCTGACCTCTGTCTGGCTGAACATGGCGCAAGGTTTATAGGCACTTCAATGTAAGAAGTGTTGCATGGAAGTGCTGGAGATCTCCTTAAAAGTGAAGGGAGATTGCTTGTAAGGAGACTATTTAATATATTTTTTAAGAGGAAGAGAGAAAAGTACCTTCTTCCTACTTCCTCTCTTCTTCCTGTCGGCTGAACTCAGATGAAATGGCTGGCTCTTCAGCAGCCATCTTGGGCCATCTGGCAGCTGGTGGTTAGACAGCAAGACGTTGAGTCAGCATCCACTTAGAATGCCTCCCCTCCCCGCCCTGAGTCATCAGCTCTTCTCTAGTAAGTCTCCTGTCAGCATTTAAACAGGCTGATTACCACCCCCAACCTAAAAAACAAAGCCCTCCTTCAACTCCATGTCCCTTCCATGTTTCTCTCTTCCCAGTCCACCAAGTGGGAAGAACCACTCAGTCTCAAGATCTCCATGTCACCATTTCCCAAGCACTCAGCTCATGACATCTGAGCTCTGTCCTCCCATCCTACCTGAAGGGCTTAAGAAGGCTAAATCATTGCCCTTTCCTCAGAGCTCTCAAAAGCATGTGCTCCAAGTCCTTTCTGGAAGCCCTGCCCCTGGGCTCTGTGCACCTGTTCCCCTGCTCTCTGGCTGCTCCTTCCTTCCCGCTGCCTGTGCCACCTCAGCGTCTGCTCTCGGTCAGGTACTCTCTACCCAGACTTCTTTGCCTGCGTGTCTCCAGAGCAACTAAAAATCACCTTATGCAAACTGAACTCAAGGATATTCCCTCCCTTTCCCCCCAAACCCAGCTGTTCTTGCCAGAAACCTGGGAGACTAACATCTCATCCTTCTGCCATCCCCCACCAACCCATGAAGTTCGACTTCCAAGTGAAGTCTGCAGGCAGCCATGGGCAGACTTAAGTCGCGACCAGCTCTTGCCTAGAAGAGCACAGCCATCCCCTAATTCGTCTTCCTGTCTCCTCTCCACGGCCCTAAAAGTCTGTTTTGTACAGTCGTCAAAGGGATCTTTCCACCAGTGGGATCCTTTTCATGGCTTGCTCAGAAGTCAGCCCCTTTGCCCTCCAGATGGACATCGGGCTCCTGCCTGGCCGGGAGGCCCTGCTGGTTCCGATGCACCTTCCCATCCCGCCTCCCCTTCCCGCTGCGGTCCCAGCAGCGCTTCTTGAATCTTCTAGAACCCACACGGTCCCCTCGCTAGGGCCTGTGTCCTGGCCGCCCCGTCCACCTGGCCTCCCGCCGCTGCTGCCACTTGAGACCGCACTTCCAGGCACAGCTGTCACTTTGCTCTCTGGCCCTCAGCGCCGCTGGAAATGACGTCAGAATGTAAACACTGCCTCCCCGTGGAAATGCTAGCGCTTCCGGAGCTTGTCTGCAGGTTGCTGTACTGATTGGGCCAGGC